ATAAAACGTAAGATGAACCTGGAACATCTTGTCATACTAAAAAGTGAGAAAACTACCAATGACTTGAGTGTCACATGAAAAACCTAATCCTAATTGGTATTCTCAGAAAACACTTCTTTCAAAATACACCTGTTATACAAGTTTAGTCTGGTACACAAGCCCAGTTTTGGGTGGTGATGGTGAAGTGACAGCACTGCTAGCATTTCACAAAGTATTTCCCCAAGTTTATCAGTGTAAAAAGATTAAAAAAAGAAAAAAAGTGTGTGTGTGGTTGGGGGTGGCAGAAAGGGTCTCTAGATCTGAGACTGGAGTTTTGCAAGGAAGGTCTGCAAGAAGGCTTGCAAATGGATAAATAGTTGTAAGTCTGAGATAAGAGGAAAAGTTAAAATTTAACAGGGTATGTTGGGAAGACATGGGATGCTGGTATCAAAAGGACAAACTGGGATATCTGTTTGACTTTGATGGGCTCAGTCTCCCAACAGCCAGGTCCCAGGCTGGATGTGGTTCCTAGAGAAAATGGAAATGAGGACCTTCAAATTCCTCAGAGGCTTCCTTCCTTGGAGATGCCAGAGTTACTGCCATCTCTGAGCCTCAGGCTCCCATCAGTAAAGATCCTGCCTGGGCCAGATCAGATAAAAGAAGTCTATCCTTTGACCTGAGATTTATGTGATTACATGAAAAAGAGCCACATTCATTGCCAAGGACTGGTAAATGTGAGCTGTTTTAGAAATTAACATTCCTATAGCTAACAGTGGAGCCCTGGTGTTGTAGTGGTTAAGAGCTCTACTGCTAACCAAAAGGTTGGCAGTTCGGATCCACTAGCCGCTCCTTGTAAACTCTATGGGGCAGTTCTACTCTGTCCTATAGGGTCACTATGAGTCGGAATTGACTTGACAGCAGTAGGTTTGGTGTTTTTTTTTGTTTGTTTTTTGCTTTTAATATAGCTAACGGTACTTGTTGTTAGGTGCCCTCAGTCGATTTCAACTCATAGTGACCCCATGTGACTAGGCACCTACCTTGTATCAAGCACTCTACATAAATTATTTTACTTAATCTTTCCTCAAATCTTCAGGGTAAATATTTTTAAGGTTATTTGAGACTCAAAGAAGTAACTTGTCCAAGGTACACAGCTAACAAGTGGCATTTATGGGAGGAGGGAGTGTTAAATGATAAATCTCACAACTCATTCAGAGACAAAAACAAAGTAATCCTGTTTTAAACACTTTTTCAACCCTTGCAAAAAAAAAACAAAAAAAGATTCCATTTAACAAGTGAATGAGTTATTTGAAAGACAATGAGTCAGTTTAAAGAAACATGCCAACATTTCTCCTCCAAGTGGGATGACGGTATCCTCATAAATGTATTTTATTTCTGTAGTCCTGGTCCCTCCCAGCTAAGTGAGGCTCTCTCACACTACCAGGACATGGGCTTATAAGGTGTCCTCAGCCTGATCGGGATAGTGAGAGAGGCTGGAAGTCAACCGGCCTGGGGATGGGAGCAACGTGAATCTTTCTCCTTGTGGGAGGCAGGAGACAGTGATATATGTGCACAGGGCCTGGGTGTTCAACAGGCCCCGGTGTAAAATCACAATCTTGCCACTTACTACTTGTCTGCCTGAACCTTAGTTTCCGTATTTGTGAACCAAAAAAAAAATCCAAACCGGGTGCCACTGAGTCAATTCAGACTCATAGTGACCCTACAGGACAGAGCAGAACTGCCCCACGGGGTTTCCAAGCAGTGGCTGGTGGATTCGAACTGCCGACCTTTTGGTTACCAGCTGAGCTCTTAACACCTCACCACCAGGGCTCCGTATCTGTGAAGGGGGGCAATAATGCCTACATCAGAGGGTTGTTCTGAGCATTAAATAAGATAGTGCAGAAAAACTGTCGATAAATGTTAGCTATTATCACTATTAGAGCTTAATAACAAATGACATCATAGTGTCTCCATTGTCCTCAATGTCTTGACTGACAGGAGCTACAAAAAGCTTCCAAAAACAGGCCAATTCCTGCTCATCCTTCGAGCTTTGGCTTAACTATCTCTTCCTTAGGGAAGCCTTCCCTAATTATCCTGAAAAAGGAAGGTGACCAGTACACTCTAAAATACCATGTATCACTTTTTCTTTGTAGCCCCTGTCCTAGTTATAACGATTTAATTGTGCATTTTTGTTTGCGGTCTTTTTTCCCCTTTAGATCATAAGCTCCATAAGGTGAGGGATGTGCTAGTTTTGTTCATCACTATATTCTCAATTCTCTCACATTGCCTGGCACACAGGTGGTTCTCAATAAATGCTTCTTGAATAAATCAAACAAAACTGAACCTATAGAGCCCCTCACCTAGGAAATCTTTGTTCCGCAGAAAAGTCGTTTACTTTCACACATTGACAGGTTCATAATCTATAGGTTTCTCTCGCTCTTTTTTTCCTTTTATCCTGGCCACTTTGAAAATCAGAGAAATTGATATTTCAGACATGCCTTTCAACTGATATAGTGGTGCTTTAATCTAATGATTCCATAAAGGAAATCTACTTTGGAATGCCATACAGCTTTATGGGTGGAAACTCAATCTCTTCTGTTTTGGGTGTGCTAACTTGTTTTGAATACCTCGTCATAATCAATTTGGTAGAGGGAAACTTTAACAATGTCATCTGAAAAATAACATTTTTCAATAATAGCATTTCCAGAAGCCTGGACAGGAATAGCTACGGTAGGTGAGCCAGAACTACATGGACTACACTGACGAAGTGGGACCCCAGGCACGTCTCATTCTGCCCTGCTGACCTCAAAGAGCTACTGTGAGGATCAAACAGGAGAGCATATGTGAGTGCACTCTAAACTCTATAACGTGACACAAGGTCTTATTACAATGGCCACCCTGGGCTACACCCTCAAGCCTTACTGGCCAAAATAGGTAACACAGGACCTAATAACTTTCTGGAATGGAGAGAACATGACAGCTATTAGAAGAAAATGTTGATGTCATCCAGTTAGGCCTCCCTCTAAATGAACTCAATAAAGTCCCTGGCAGACACATCCAGCCTCTACTTAAATGATGCTGGTGGTAGGGAGACACCAAGACTTCTCAAGCCAACACATTTCATTCTGGAGCAATCTGTATCCTCCTCCTCTCTATAATTTTTACCCTTTGAGAGTCTTAATTCTACTCTCCAGAGCTACTAACCTGCTGCCGTCGAGTCGATTCCGATCATAGAGACCAGAGCTACTACAGAATGTCAATTCAAGGAGGCACATTTCAGGAATTTGATAACATGGGTAAGTGGGAAAGGCATTTTTGTGACCTGGGGTAAGCACGTCTGCTATAATTTTGGACTAAAGGGTCTAGAAAGAAAGGGGGCACAAGTTTCATTAAGCCAAGAGATCTGTTTGCAAAGCATGCATTTAGTACTACATAATTAATAGCAGACAGCATAAGGTCTCAGTGCTTACTATGTGCCAGATCATTTAATCCTTCCTACAACCCTACGATGTAGGTACTTATTACTGTACCTATTTTATAGGGGAGTTAACTAAGGTACAGAGCAGTTTAGTAAATTGCCCAAGGTCACAGACTCATATGTGGTGGACTTGGGATTGAAACCCAGCAGGGCCCCAAGGCCTCTTACCTCTACATTATATGGCCTCCCACAGTGTCAAGGTCTCCACTCACCCACTGTTCATAGCCCCAGCCCAGAACCATGGGCCCTTACCCATCTCATGCTGCCATGCGATTAATGACTGACTGATTACTTTTGTGTGGCCTTTCTAGCCAGGGTCTTGTAACTCTCACCCAGGTGACTCTGTGATAGGGTAACTGTGGCCTGCCAAGGGGATTGGTCAGTTCTGTCTTAAAAGAGCCAATTCCAGAGCAGAGAGAAGAGCCCACCACCATCAAGGCAGGAGAGACCAGCAGGAGACGGCCGATGGGCTTCCCGGTCCACAGAGAGAGAAAGCTGAGTGCCTTTGGGCAGAGGCTGAGGGCCAGGGACAGGCATGCGTGTGAGCACAGCTGTGGAATGGCTGTCCTGATGGAAGAACTGTATTCTGAGTGTTCCTGAGCCTGAATTGGTACAATTACTTCCTTAATAAACTCCCTAATCGTAAGTATGGTCTGTGAGTTCTGGGTGGCCATTGCAATGAGTTACTGAACCCAGTAAAGAGTGCTGTGGGATGGACAGGTGGTGTCAGAATTGGTAGAGATGGCGGAGAGAGAAGCCTTGTCTGGCCTCCACCTCATGGGAGTCAGCCTTGTGCTGCTGATTTGGGTTCTCCTTCCCCCTTGTGGGGTTGGAGGTTAGACATCTCCCCCATGCTATTTTTACATATGCCCTACATTCTGCCTTGCTCCTCATCTACCACAACTTATTTTCTCAGTTAGGTTTTCACCTTGTCCCCTGTACCCCAGTTCCAGACCCTCTATGGCCTTCGCTTCCCTCCTTAACTATGATCTATCATTTTCCATTAAGTTGTTTTTGACTGCCCTGGGTAGTATACACACAGACCACACGTTGGATATCAAATCAAGTAAATACAGACAGTTTCATTTCTTACTCATCTCAGTCCTGCCTTTTTTTAAACCAAGAATCCCTGAAGTTCTTAGAACAAGAAAAGGTAACAGTTAATATGCTGAGATTTTTGCTAAATGCCAATGCAAAACAATTTTCATTACATTTTGTCTAGCTGGCAAGCATGCACAGTCAGAGCTGTGATGTAAAGACTCACTAAAAATTTAACACAATGCTCAATAAAGGCTGACTGCTTCTGGCAGCTTTTCCAACTACAGGCACAAGTACTCCAAAGGCCTGTATTACTATAAGAGCTGTTTGTACCAGTCCCAAGAGAATTAAGTAACTTTCGGATTGAGCAGCACACCATTCCAGAAAAGTTGGAAGACATTCACCCTACTGCATTAAGTTCAGGGATCCGTTTTTAACGTGATAAGCATGCAGCAGAGGGACTGTGCTAAGTCCCTAATTAGGACTGCCTAGAACCCATGCATGGTACCTTCACTCCATCCAGCACGGCTTTGATGACCCCCTTCACAGTTGTCACCATCTCTTTATCTTCTGAGTTCACACCTTCTAGCATCACTTGGTCAGACCAACGAATGAGGTTGGCGAGACTTTGGTACACTCGGCTATAGCAGGAGGACAGGGCTGAGCTGGAAAAGATTTTTAACATGAATGTTAAAAAACAAACTAAAACATGACCATTACTTTAAGAGATCCGTTTAGCACAGAGTCAGTTTCTTGGTGGTTAGGATGAGTTTCTCAGTCTCTCTCTTTTTAAACCCACCTCCTTTTAGTAAACAAACATTTTCTCCTCTGAGTCTATATCCTTAAATCCACCCAGGAAGATTCTGTGGAGTCTTACAGTCTAGTCTGCATTATAATTTTTTTCCTCATTTTCCAAATACAATATACACAAATTCCACCATGATAGTTAATATGCATTCTCAACCTTCACATACCTCCACAAGATCTGACAACATCTCTCAGGAAGTGCCTATCTTCCTCCTCCTGGTCGCTAATCATTGCACTAGGTCAAAGCATTGTGCACTTCTTGTTTTGAATTAGGTTGAAATTCATTTAGATGTGTCACGAGAGGCCAAGAGGTTTGCAGAATTTTAGCAGGCAGGTTCCTTTAAAGGAACAACTATGAGCTTGAACAGACCTCTAATTTATTAGAATTCCTCGTAACATCAGCTTAGCTCCCTCATCTTCTATACTACAACCGTGGCTGAGATGTCAGAGGAAGACGCTAATGAAGATTACCTTAAGAATGATAAATCAGAGGTGAGTTGTCTTGTGGTAGTGGTGAGGTGAGATGCTGAGGTGTAGGGGCTGGTTCAGGGAGAAAGGAGTAGTGTTAAGGTACCAGCTATGCTGTAATGCTAACACATATAAAACAGAATCCCTGAGTACTTCGAGGGTGCTGCAATGATTATAGATAGTGGTTAAAATGAAATCTTACATCTTCCACATGTTTTTAAATAACTAAAGACATTTTCCCTTAGAATTCTGGAAAGGATGATTTCTCCATTTCAAACATTAGGTATTACAACAGAGGAAGAAGAAAAATATGAAATATTTGTGTGCTGCCCCCTCCTCCACTCCCAAAGTATCTCAAAAGGAAAAAACAAAAAGAACGAGGCAGATATTTAGGAACTGAAGATACAATTCTGAAGCAAAGATATAATATTGTGAGATATGATTAAAACAGGTTCTAAAAATAAAGCCATTTAAAACAAAACCCCGAACCAAACAACACTCCAACAAGAAGCTCTTCAGAATCAGGTAAGGAGGAAAAAAAATCTTTCCAGTGATCTAAAATTTCCAGTTAGCCAGTCATTCTACTCTGTGCATGTTCCAACAGGAGAAAACTAGAGTCAGAAAGAATGAAAGCAAACTTTTCAAGTTCCATTAGAAACAAGAGAAATTTACAAAAGGAGCCCCAAGAAAGTCAGGGTTTGGCTGCTTCAGGGGATAATATGAATGAAAAGCATTTGGTGTTGGACCTGTTCTCCTAGGAAAAGAGAAATGAACACAAGAACTCTGTGGTCTTTTCCTGGGTGTTAGATTATGTGCAGATCTTCCTGAAGGGGAAAACACTTCTTACAACCATGCATCCCTCTCTCCTTCCTGAGAAGACCAGGTCTGGACTTTAAACAAGGACTGTTGTCTTTTGCTAATGTGCCTGTACAGGGGATTTCACCAAAGCATCACATTGTAAACTATGGGCAATAATTAGATGAAAAGGCAGAAAAACACTTTACATAATACAATACTTAATTTCTACCTGCTTTGGATGGTACTATTTACCTGAAAGCACCTAAAGATTTTGACAATTATGTCTACCCTTTGTATGATTAGCTTGGAAACAGAATATTCCTCTGTGTCAAGGTGCTAAGAGACTAAGAAAGGAAGGAGGGGCCTGTGCTATGAAAATGCTACCAGTGGACAAATCGCTGGCCTATTTCTGGAATGCAGCAGAGCAGTCTGTGTTGAAGGCGAGCCCTGATCCTGCTCTTTGGGTGTTCCGATGTACAGAAAGAGAATCCTCCACTCATGGCTCATAGCCAGCTGATTATTCAGAGGCCAGTCCATGACAGTCCCAGGAACCTGGAGGAGGGTGGCAAACAGCCTGTCTGCTAGGACCCAACTCACAGAAGAGGTTCTGTTCAGAAGGCACAGAAAATACCTTCCTGGCTTACAAACTGCACTAGGGGGAGGAATGAGACGCTAGAAATAATCTAAAAGAAATATTTGAAGATGTATTTTCAATCATTTCAGGGAAGTCAATAAAAATATCACCACTGGCTTTGGCAGAATTTCAGACGGAAAAAAAAAAAATCACTTAAATACTATTAGCCAAAGGACTATCAGGAAAAAAAGAAGTTATTTTATTGTTCCTTATGGCTACTCCAGGCACTTCCCTTTTACCCTCTAGGAAATGATTGTAGACTTTGAATAATTTTTGTCACTACGAGTCAGAATTGACTCAACGGCAATGGGTATAATACAACAGGAGCCCCGGTGGCGCAGTGGTTAAGAGATCGAATGCTAACCAAAAATTAGGTAGTTCGAATCCACCAGCCACTCCTTGGAAACCCTATGGGGTAGTTCTACTCTGTCCTATAGGGTCACTATGAATCAGAATCAACTTGATGGCAATGGGTTTTTTTTTTTCCTAACAAAACCAGGGAGCCAGCCCTGATGGCACAGTAATTAAGCACTTAGCTGCTAACCAAAAGGCTGGCAGTTTGAACCCACCAGCTGCTCCATGGGAGAAGGATGTGGCACTCTACTTCTATGAAGATTTACAGCCTTGGAAACCCTGTAGGGGCAGTTCTACTCTGTCCTATCGGGTTGCTATGAGTTAGAACTGACTCGACAGCAACAAGGTTTTTTTTTTGGGGGGGGGACGGTAAGAGGGGGAGGGAAATAATAATAAAACCTCCCCATCAGGAAAAAAACAACCAAAAAACTCCAAAACTACTATTACATGACTTGAATTCTTTTGCAGTGTTTGCATGTCTAGAACGTAACTTCTCAAGCAGGAAGGAACAAAGCAACAATCCTAATAGCAACACACTGTACCACTGCTAGCACAGGTTTTTAGCTAAGGTGACTCTTGCCTGGACGCTCCCTAAGAAGCTTAGCACCTGAGGATGTCTGGGTGAGGAAACTTGTCTTCATTTCCCACTCTTCCCTTTTTCAATGTCCCAAAGTGCTCACACACTCTTTGCTTGTATGGCTGCTCAGAGGTCTCCTCCCTATGAATACACCATGGCCAGCTGGCCTCGGCTCCTTTGTTCTTCTTGTTCCCCTGCCCCACTGCCAATCCAATTCCTACCCCATCCTTCAGGGTAGGCCTCAGCTCCTCCTCCTCTAGGAAGTCCTCTCCAACTCTCTTGTAACTCTCCCTTCCAAAAGAACTTCTACTCTGTGCCACAAAATTAGCATTTTCTCATAATGTGTGCAGGGTTGATTTTTTCCCACTAGATTTTAACTCTCCCATGGTAGGGACCATCATACAAGATAGCATATAGGAGAGTACTTTTAAAAAGCCATCTGAGCATCTGACCGCACATGTTGCCCAATAACTAGCATAATGTTAGGCAAACTCACTCAAAGGAAACCAGCACTGAGCACTCCTACGAGCTGGATGCTGGTTAAACTATCAGGCAAATGTAGTACTTGGTCTCAAGGCTCTCTGTGGCCAGCACACTATATTGGGCACTGAAGAGCCTCATTACCTCAGTGGCTCTTCCTATAGGGCAGTAGCATGGCATGGAAAAACAACAACGGTAGCAGGGCAAAGCCACACCGATGAGTTTATCAAAACCCTCCCACCACCAACTAGCTCCAGTGAGCTGCTAGCCAAAAGACCACAACTACAGGGGTCAGCTGAAACTCCAGGTAGAAGCCCCAGGGCAGTTTCTTGGAAATAAAGACACCATTGGCTTTATCTCCCAGAAGAAGAAAAATATGCGCTTCCTTGCCAAGTTCTGAAAGCAGTTCATAAAAGCTTAGGCCTCATGGGGCTCCATGAACACTAAACCATCTCGAGGAATCGAAACAGAGATACACTTATCCTGAACAGGTAACATGAAGAAAAACAAAAACCTAGCAGGAAACTGACAGCTTCCCAAGAAATAGCTCTTGTCAGGCTTTCATTTAAGATTACATTTAATATTGGTTTTCTTTCTGTACTTAACAGTAAATACGAGGGCAGCTACTCATACAACCAATGGAAGTATGCTCTAGCAGTACAAGCACTGCCTAACAGCAGCTTGTTGGGGGCAAGGGGTGACCCTACCTGTGATATCTGGCCTTCAGTGAATCCAGGTGCTATCTTTGGGAGATCCTGGCTGGACACAGTTAAGTGTTTCACTAATTCATATTCTAATAGGGTTCTGCTCTACCTCTCTTGGCCTAATCATCTGAGCAGTTGAGGACTCTAACAGGTTAGACTTCGATAGGATTTGATGTCATAATAAACCATGGTTAAATGTCAGGTGATTGAAGGTACTAGGAGAAATGTATCTAAATCAATGTGATTACTGTCAATGAGCTAATGCAAGGAAATGACCATAGACTTACACTGTGGCTATATCCCTAGGGACGTTAGAGATCTAGGTCAATGCTGAGACCTCATGAATAACCCTGAACTTGACCTTGGGATAGCACCAAGTGATAGCCTGAGGAGAAGCTCCTTTTCCTACCTGACACTCCTCCTGTTCCTAGAAACTCTGAGTTTGAAGTGACCCCAAAGCAAGATGCCTCTAGGCCTTCCCTTGCTCTGACCCAGCCAAGGCCTGCAAAGCAACTCACCTGTGTTGAGTTCGAGGATCGTTATGCACCAGGGGTAGGATGGCTTCCAGCACCTTGCTGGCTGACCCTGGAAGCATCTCCAGTACCTTCTTATCAATTGCCATTTTGTCCACAATGGTCTTAAAGTAGCGCAAGGCACTGACAACGTCCTTCTCTTGCTCTTCCAGCCAGCTCAGGTTCTGAAAGGAAACGTTAAGCACAAGGAAGGAGGAGAGAGATTAAAGGTAGCTATTCTGAAAGAAGTAAAATAAAATTTCCTGTAAACTAGCTTGAGATTGATGCAGATGGAAAAGTCTTCTTGCTGCACAAACGAAGCCAAATTGTTTTTCTAAGGATTGCAATCAGGATACACAGACTAGACTTGAAAGAAGAGGAAAGGTTGTTTATAGATATTCCTGTCTTTTGCTAGACTCAAGATTGATTTGCTCTGAGGTCTTGAAAGTCACTTGTCCTCCTCTATTTCCTAAACAACCACACCCAGATATCACCACTAATCTCATTAAGTATAGTAAGGACTAATTTGCTGATGGCTGTAAGACACTTGGAAAGCTAATAGTAGAGTCCCATGGTGCACATATATCCTGTAAATTAAATCAAGAAACTCCAGGCTTTTCTACCTTTCGAAGATCAGAGGGACTTTGTAAGACTGGTCAGGGGCATTAGGTTTTAAAACTCATTCCCCCAGGACTCTTCACTAGATTCCACATTGTTCAACCCAGAGATGTTACCCCATCTCAATGAAATGACCTGCTACTCCCAAATGACATAGAAACCCCCAGGGCTAGAAGAGGTGGGATGCTCTCAGGTGAAAAGGTGAAGAACCCAGAGCAGATGGCAATGATTCAATCACCACCTTGAAGTTGTTGCTAACAGCATGCAGGGTCTCTATGCTCCTGAGGAGAGCCCAACTACAAAGAAAATAAAATACACAGCCCTATGCTTTCCAGTATTCAAATTATCACCCAAATCTTTTCTCTTGACTGTGAGATCTCTTGAATTGGTGTCAGTGCGTACATATACCCCTTTTGTTCCTTTCTCCAACCTCCCCCATACTAGTCCTGTCAATGACCCAGGTCCCAGCTGGCTGGCAGGGAAAGGAAAATCAAGGATAATCTCTAAAATGGATAAATCCCAAAATGAATTATCTATTTAAGGAGAATCAATTCTATAATGTCCAGTGCAAATTAAGGAGGGTGTATATAAGGAAAACTGCCACCTGTGGTTTCTCTGAGGTCCAGAGAAGGAATAAAAGCAACCGAGGGCAAGGAGATGATTTCCAGAAAAGGCTAATTTCAACAACAGTCTAAAAAACATTAAAAAATGACAGAAGTATGATGAGAAAGTGATTATGATCGTGAAAACTAGCTTTCTTCTTCTGAAATAGTGGGGAATGTCATTTTAAATGAAAACTTTTCAGTAGTGGAGGCATTTTATTTTATGAGAATATCGAAAGAAAAATATGTAAGTGGGATCAAGAAATAATTAATCAGACAACTTTCAAAGACCCAAGGTCTCTCAACGGGGATACTTCCCAAAAGGTGCTCTACAGACCACTAAGGTGGGGCAAAGCACCCCCTCCCCCATCCCCATCCCCATTCCTTTTACTTGTCTCTATCCCCTTTATTTTTCTTCTTTTACTATTTGCTTATTTACTGTCCATTTCCAAGAGGCCAGGACTTGTTTCTCTACTTCATGGACTAGTGCTCTCTGCTTCAACATCACCTACAGGGCACTGGGGTACCTGCATCTGAGGAATCTCAGTGCCTGCAGACACCGAATGTGGCTAAACCAGTCAGTCTGGCAAGAGGACTATCACAGAAACACTGCCGTCTTAGCACAGCAGAAAGTGCTAGAAGCAAGCAAGAATGAAACTTGGTGAGGAAATAGGTAACATTTTAAGAAAATGTGACATCAGGTTTGCTAGGGAGAAAGGAGCAAACCTGAGGAAGGGAGGTATTCAAACAAGGCAAGGCATTTCAGAGCAAAGAGAATTTTCCTGTCATTTGCAGAGAGATCAAATTAGCCATTTAAAAGCCAGGCTGCCCTGGGCTCCTAAGAAAGGGGTCTACAGCTTGGCAGAGTCAGGTTTCATCCATTAACTCTCCAGCAAATTCCACTCGCAGAATTAATGGCCTCTGAGGAGCTTGTGCATCCCCTTAGCCCGTCAGCTGTTAAAACTGTGGCTGCTTACAAAAATGTAGCCAGTAGTCAGAAGCATTCAGAAAGAGACACCTATACAGAGCACTAGCTAGAACTGGGAACCCAATGCCTTGTTTTACTAAAGTTGCCTTGTCACATAATCTCAGACAGGCAGATGCATCCTCTCTCCACCTACCCCCACTTCCCTGCTGTAGGGGGTTAGGTGTCACCACTGGTAAAAATGAGCCTGGAAACTAAAAGAGGCTATCAGGGGCAGAAGGAGGATCAAACTCTGGGTATGGGAACCAGGGGGCTTCAGGCTTCTTATCTGCAAAACGGGGAAAATATGTGCCCTGTGTATTTAGAGAAGTTGATGTGGGGACTGAGTGAGAGTGTGTAGGGAAGAATTTTATAAAATCTAACAGATGCTATACAAATATATGATAATATATATCTGTTAATAATAAAGCAAAGGGGCCCCGGCTGCACAATGGTTAAGTGCCCAGCTGCTGTCATGGATTGAATTGTGTTCCCCAAAAATATCTGTCAACTTGGCTAGGCCATGATTCCCAGTATTGTGTGACTGTCCACCATTCTGTCATCTTATGTGATTTTCCTATGTGTTGTAAATCCTATCTCTATGATGTTAATGAGTTGAGACTAGCTGCAGTTGTGTTAATGAGGCAGGACTCAATCTACAAGATTAGGTTGTGTCTTAAGCCAACCTCTTTTGAGATATGAAAGAGAGCAGCGAGCAGAGAGACATGGGGACCTCATATCACCAAGAAAGCCAACCAGGAGCAGAGTGTGTCCTTTGGACCTGGGGTTCCTGTGCGGAGAAGCTCCTAGACCAAGGGAAGACAGATGACAAGGACATTCCTCCAAAGCCAACTGAGAGAAAAAGCCTGGAGCTGGCAACCTGAATTCAAACTTCCAACCTACTAGACTGTGAGAGAATAAACTTCTCTTTGTTAAAAGCCATCCATTTGTGGTATTTCTGTTATAGCAGCACTAAATAACTAAGACAAAATTTGGTACCGGGAGTGGGGTGCTGCTCAAACAGATACCTAAAATGTGGAAGCGGTTTTGAAACTGTGAATGGATAGAGGCTGGAAGAGTTTTAAAATGCCTAATAGTAAAAGTCTATATTGCCTTGAAGAGACTGTTGGTGGAATTATGGACATCAGACAATTCTGGTGAGAACTCGGAAGTGAGGAGAGACCCGGCAGCACCAGAGGAGTGGCAGCAGCAGAGGATTATTTTCAAGCCTTGAGGACTAATGTAATGTGTTCTGCTGACTTGCTTGGTGCCTGTTATCCCTTCTTTCCCTCCAATTTCTCCCATCTGTAATGGAAATGTCTCGCTTGTGCCTGTTCCACCATTGTACTTTGGAAGCAGATAACTTGTACTCTAGATTTCACAGATAAAGAGGAATTTTTTGTGTTTTGGACTTGGAGTTGAATTAGGACTTTTGCTATGACGTGATGGGGTGGACATGTTTTACATGTGGCAGGGATATGAATTTTGGGGGGCCAAAGGGTGGAATATCATGGATTGAACTGTGTCCTCCCAAAATATCTGTCAACTTGGCTAGTCCATGATTCCTAGTATGGTGTGACTGTCCATCATTTCGTCATCTGATGTGATTAGCAGCAGTTATGTTGATGAGACAGGACTCAATCTACCAGATTAGGTTGTCTTAAGCCAATCTCTTTTGAGATATAAATAGAGACGTGAGCAGAGAAACACACACACCAAGAAAGCAGCACCGGAAGCAGAGCGCATCCTTTGGACCTAGGATTCCTGCACACAGCAGTTCCTAGACCAAGGGAAGGCTGATAACAAGGACCTTCCTCCAGAGCCGACAGAGAGAGAAAGCCTTCCCCTGGAGCTGGAACCCTGAATTTGGACTTCTACCCTACTAGACTGTACGAGAACAAATTTCTCTTTGTTAAAGCCACCCACTTGTGGTATTTCTGTTATAGCAGCACTAGATAACTAAGACAGCTGCTAACCAAAAGGTCAGTGGTTGGAACCCTGCCAGCGGCTCCTCAGGAGAAAGGACCTGGCAATCCGCTCCCATAAAGATTACAGCCTACGAAACTCTACAGGGCAATTCTATTCTGTCCTATAGGGCTGCTATGAGTTGGAATTGACTCAATGGCACACAGCAACAACAATAATAAAACAATGAAGGAAAAAGGATGTAAAAGTCTAAAAGGGAAAAGGAAAGAAAGAGGTCAGATCAGGGGAGGATTATCCAATAGACAAGGTAAACATGGTGCTTACCTTGCTTACCAGATCATCTGTAGTAAACAATTGCCTATCTTTTTACCATATCAAAGACTCTGCTTCTAGATATGGCTGGGCTGGAATCTGTCTCTCTCCCAACCCCACAGCACCTTCCTACAGAATCAAAGCCTCTTTTCAAATTTTCAATCCTGGCAGGGGCGGGTGGGCCAGTAAGCAAGGTAATCATGGACTTATTTACTAATCTGTAGTGAACAATTTCACAACCTGCGTTATTGTTAAGACACAACTTTGCTTGCTGAAAGTGGAGAGGACTTGAAGCACTTACTGATGAAGATCAAAGACCATAGCCTGCCGTATGGATTACACCTCAACATAAAGAAAACAAAAATCCTTACAACTGGATCAATAAACAACATCATAACTGATTTAGGAAATAATATTGGAGTTATTATTCCCTCTCCTTGAGCATAGAGAATGTGACCAGCTGGAGCTGGGCTCACAAGGACACATCAACTGGGCCCTGAGGTAAAAGACAATAGCTAAGATAATCTTGGAAAATATCTTTTAGGGAAACTTTCACATAAAGCCAATCAAACAGAACACAAAAAAGACTTTCTACTCTTATCTTTTTCTATTAGCATTTAGTGAATAGAAATTTATTGGACCAATGAAGACCTTTACTGAAACCTGTACCAACGATTGTTAAGAAAGACGATTCAAAACGTAGGATTACAGTTTCTAGCCAATCTGTAAAAGGTGAACTTTCAATGGTTTTGCCCATTTGTAA